GGCATTTCTTAGTTCTCTCAAAGACGTCCTCCCCCATGACCCGCGCCGGAGAGTCATCGTCCGCCTCGCCCTCCTTCAGCCGTCTCAAGTCGTGGCACATTTGCACATCGTGGCACACTCCCAAAACGACACTTGCTCTCGCTTGCCTGAGTCACAAGCGCACAGGCTAAGATCACCGGCTAAAGTCTTGAAAGCCGATGAGAATAGCCCGGCACGCAGAAAAATCTGCCCCTAATGTGTGTTGTGCAAGTTCGTCTTCTGCATGATCAGGGGTGAATGCATGTCTTATTCAGTCTTATGGTGCCTGGTGTTGTTTTTTTCTTACCGTCTGTGGCGGAGCTTATATTCCTATCCTGTCATATGAGTCATAAATGCTGTGTACATCTTCCGAAATCCAACTCACGATGCGAGCTTGCCAACAGGTTCGATCCACGTCCGTCTTTCTCGTGTAGCTGGCCCGGCACAAGTACAGGCATGAACGGCCCGCTTTTCCGGCTGTCCTCTGGCAGAGTCTCCAGGCCGGCGTTCCTCACAAATCCGAAGCTCTCAAGCTGTGGGAGTGATGGCCATTGGCTGCGAAAATTCCACACACACACACACACACCCCAGTCACTAGCCAGTCTTGTGCCACTCAACCGCAATCCCTTGCGCTGAGGCCCCTGCTTCACACCACTGGAGAAATGTGGCCGAGGCTGCCTTGCTTTCTTGGGAATTGCGATTTGGGGTTTTGAGGCAGGTGTAAGGTTACAGGGCTGACCTTCAGTGACAAGATGAGAGGTGGACGGGTTGATGGGCTTAGGGTTCGGTGTCGCAGGAAGGGTTGCCTCGGGCGAACGTCAACTTCGTCCTTGTCCGTTTTGTCCAAGGAGTCTCTGGACTCATCGCCCTGCATCGGCAATTTCTACAGAAACTGTGCCTTGCAATAGCCTTGCAAGGCCTAAGTCCTTGTAGTGTGGCACGGAGATCCCGAATCGCGTGTCAGGCTTGGGGTTGTGATGACTAATGTCATGTGTTCTGGCCCCGCTGGCCTTCAATTTGCGCTTTATTCAGCTGTTCACCTCAATGCTATGTTGGAGTATGTGCACAAGCTCTGGAGACCTTCAGGCCCCGTTGCCGTGTGAGCAGTTTCATGGCCCAGTCGGAAAGGGTTTCCATGCACAAGCGGCAGCCCAACCTACGAGACAGGATCTTGCGGAGGCTTTACATGATGCGCTTCGTGACTGCACGAGGCTATGCTACACCTGTACTACAGGGCTGCTCATGTGGTATTTGATTGTATCAGGGCTTGAGGCTTCATTTTAAGCACTAACCACTGGTCAAGCTATCTGCTTGTTTAGCACATGACCTCCGAAGTTCTACGGGCCTTTTCGGGCGGCCCAGCACCATGGGGTGGTGGGCCGGTAGGGCGCCGTCGCCTCGTGCAGGCATTGAAAAGTGCAGGGTTCCATCATGTTTCTCGCTCAACCAGTCGGAACGTCTCTAGGGCAAAGTTTGCGCCTTGGGGTTCCGCCAGTCGTTTTGGAGGACCACCCCCTACTCAGCAGTAGTACTAATACTAGTACTAGCACTAGTACTAGCACGAGTACTAGTAGCAGTAGCAGTAGCAGTAGTAATAGTAGTCGTCGTCGTCGTACTAGTACTAGTACTAGGTCTAGTACTAGTACTACTACTGCTACTGCTACTGCTACTGCTACTACTACTACTACTACTACTACTACTACTACTACTACTACTACTACTACTACTACTACTACTACTACTACTACTACTACTACTTCTGCTACTACTACTACTACTACTACTACTACTGCTACGACGACGACTACTACAACCACTACAACTCCTACTCCTACTCCTACTGGTACTTACTGGTACTGGTACTGGTACTTCTGCTGCTACTGTTAACTGCTACTACTGCTAGTCCTGCTACTACTGCTGCCACTACTGCCACTACCACAGGCTAGCATGATCGGCCGCCGAGGTGGGACCAAAGCAGGAAGCTGCCAACTCCTGGACAGATGGCAGCAGATCCCGACATGTTTCAAGGATTTTGTCCAATACAACCCAAAGACATACACAGCCCTGGCCTTCTAGGCCAAGAAACATGAGACTTGAGTAAGACTTGAATAGGTGTCTGAAGGCGGGAGTAACAGGAACAAGACGGTGCAACTCCAATTCAACGTATGGCCGAACTCCAGCATTCTGAAACCTAAAAAACCTAAAAGCCGCTGCTCTGGGACCACCGGCGCTGAAGAGGGCTTCGACATGATGTCTGGAGCCTGCGTTTACAGTTTGTCATTAAAAAGTTTCGATGCGGCCGTTTAGCTCAAATAGGCTCTTCATGGTCTTGTCATCCCGCAGTGGGCTTCGACTCCTACCAGCCAGAAGGGCAGGATTGCAGCGTTGTTTTGTATGCTTGGGTTCTTAATGCAGAGAGTTGGAGCGAAAAGGAAGGGGCCGGTTTTTGAAAACTTGGCTGGAGATGGCAAGAGGCATTTCATCCCTTGAGAGAGGACGCCTGTCTGTGTCACAAAGTCAAAGTTTATATTACCACATGTAGCGTTCCGGCAACCCAATCAGAATGAACCAAGTCGTCTTCCTGCCCTTTTTCCGTCGCGGGCTGATGCAACCACAGCAAAGCTCCACAGCTGACAGGGCTGCGTGAGGCAGGGTACCTGCATGGGCTGTTGGCATGTTGACTCTTGAGCACCCTGCCGCTACACCCATCACACCCCTATCAAAGCTCTGTAACCCCTCCCTGTAACAACACAGAACAGCTTGCAAAGGTGTGAACCAGAACTCGCAGTGGCGAACAGATCTTTGATTGCTACAGAGCTTGCGCATTCATACGCATTCGCATTCAAGCCGTGGCTTTGTCACTTCAAGCCAGAGAACCCCCTTAACGGGCGCAGGCTCATTCAGCCTTCTCACAGCATAAGCAAGCGGTATATGGTATATGCCATGTAAATACGAGTGCTGACGAAGATCGCCTCCTCCGCCTCCCCTGCATCGCAGCCGAAGACTGCAGCTGCGGCTGCAGGTGTGGGGGCGCCTCAGCTGAAGGCATGGGCTGAGAATGAAGCTAACGACTCTTCATCTTTGTACAAGAGTCGGTGACAACGGATAGCTTCGTACTGTATCCGCTCAACTCTTGCAAACCAAACTGTTTAGATGCACACGCCGCTGAGGTTCGAGGCAATGGTTGCAGTCCTTGTAGCTATTGTATGCATGCTGAAGTTGCTGACAAAAAACACACATGGCGATGCCTGGATTACAGGATGCAGAGCAAGCTTCAATGTGGGGGCGACACTTGAACAGCTCGAAGCACACCCAGGAAAAGCCTTGAGCTCATAACAAACCTCGCCCAGATTCCCTGATCCGAAAACAAATGAACCAGATGGTTCATAATTTTGCCCCAAACTGAATTGTCTCAGCCCCAACTGCGAAACATCCCGAGAAGCAGTTCTCACCGACAACGAAGACCATCCCAGAAAAATTCACTGCTGTGGCGTAGTGCCGAACTGCTGCCAGGTCCAGCCTCGTATAAAGCTTAGGTTTAGGAATGGGGGATATAGTGGGGGATATGACCAGGTCGTAGATGCCCAGAGACCCATGGGGGTCTTGTGCGAGGCTTCCTGCCACCTTGATGGTCCCTACATGTCCCTACCCTGCGCTTGCCCCCCTACCCGAGAAGGGTTCACTGCACCAACACCCAAACATCCATAAGCATCCATAAGCATCCATTCTTGTGGCAGACCATATGCAGTGTCCGAGGGTCCCTTTTTGCACACTATCTGGACAGTGGGTTTTGTTGTGCTTTCGGTTTTTGGACGGTTCTCTTTTGTTGCCACCTAGCTGACGCCATTCTTGCCACTCAGCAGGGACGTTTGGGAGAGGATTTGGGACTTGAAGGTTCAGCTAGGCTGTCGGATGTGCCGGATGGCGCCCTAGGATTGTAGTAGAGGCCAGCGATCTTCACACTCGCAAAAGCTTGCACATACAGCATGCAAACTTTGCCGCATGTCGGACCCCTCTCTCGTGGGAGTACTTTGGTCTCAGGCAGGTCACCTGACAATGTTGAATCTAGATCTAGATACGGAGAAGTTTCAACAGAGCAACGTAGAGCAACGTTCGAACACGCAGTGACATGCAGTATGCAGGCCCAGCTCGAAAGCCCACACGCCCTTGGGGCCCACACTGCGGCCAAACGAAGAGACCAATAACCCGGCGCTTGCCAAGGGCGGCTTGCAGGGCACTGTCCTGAGTGGAACATGCTGGAACGTAAGACGTGGCAGCAGTTGGCACCAATTGGAACTGAATGCAGAGCTTTTTAATCGACCTTCAACTCATGCACATGTGGCTTGCAATGGCTTGCAGATCAAAGGCTCGTCGCTTGGGCTCACCTCGATTCATGCGCAGGACACAAAGGTGACTCTTGTTCACATCATTCCAAAAGAATCGCCGTCCTGAATACGGCGACATGCTCTTTGAAGAAACGCGCCGGAGTAGAATCCATAGAAATACGAACTTTGCCAGACAGGTTGCAAAAGCGAGCCGAGTCGAATCCTCCGCCTTCCAGAAGCCTCATGCTGTCTGTGGCTATGTCCCAGGATACATCCAGGATACAGTAAGCATGAGTTTGTTGAGCACCAGCAATATGGAAATACGAACATCGCAGACTCTAGCTTTTGTGGTTGGGTTTGCGCCGGAACCACCCCGAGAAACTCACAGGCTGTGAGAATCACAGACGGTGTTCTTACTTTCAGTTCCCATTGCACTTCTGACCGTTCAGCCAAGCATCGTTTCAGCTCATCATGTAGAGGCGCTAGGACCCACGGGTCTACGTCACCTCTGACACTTCAGGCATCCCTCTTTGAAGGAAATGCAGGCAAAGCTGCAGACTTGTCCGAAACATGCTTGCAGTCTGGGCAATGCGAACCTGGCTCTTGCTTTCATGGCTGTGCTCATCCCACAGTCATTGAGGCAGGCTGCCTGTTGAGCTAGGCCGGTAGTAGTAGTCCAAGCAAACGACCTGATTCGGTACGGCAAGTTCGGGTGTCAGAGCCTGTGTGCACAAGTCTCAGCTTCCCTACCTGTCGTACAGGAAGATGGCAGCAGGTGTTGTGTCATTTGGAAACAAGTGTGTTAGAACACCATCTAGAGAAACTTCTAGAGACCAAGTTTGGGGATATTTTGTAAGAAACCATTTGCTAGAACGCGGTCCGTGCAGCAATTCCATGCCGCATGCCAATCGCACCGGACTCAAGCGGGTGAAAGGTTGGGCCAAGATACTGGGAACCGGGGAGAGAGGAGCCACTCAATCAGCCCAGAGCCACCTCAGCATCTCTGTTAACCCTTCGTAATTTTTCCAGCCCTAAACCCTTACTGTGCCTTTCTTTAATATGGGAGCCAAAGGCCGAAGTGGAACACTTATCGGATTGAACGGGAATTGTTTTTTGATTCGCCGAACGCTGTCCAAAATTTCGGGTGGGACTGCCAGGTCATGCGCTGCTTCTTTGAGCCCCAGACTCCCAGACTCCCAGTTTTAGATTTTAGACAAATCCCAAGATACCGCACAAGAGACCCAACTGAGCCCTGATAAAGGCTTCCGCACTTACCCCACTACACACCGCTCCTCACCCTTTCATCAGCCTCTGTGCTTGCCAGGTGCTACCAATGCTCAGCACGACCTCCGCATTCAAAGCAGCTAGGCGTCCACCCAGAAGACCCATGGCTCCTTGAGGGACTAGGGTTTAAAAGCTTGGCGTTGATTTGAATTGCTGCCTGGATGGGTTCAGGAGCATTGCGGCCCCCCAAAACGGGTGGAGTTTTTTTTTGGGTCTTTTTTTTTTTTTGTTTTTTTTTTTTTTTGGTCGATTTTCTTGGTTTTCTCTAGGAAAAACCCTACTTTCCTTACATTTTGGACGGATTTTCTGTCATTTCCCTTAGGTTTTCGTTGGTTTTTCATAGGGAAAAACCTATTTTTTTTACATTTTGGACGGATTTCCTGTAATTTCCCTTAGGTTTTCCTTGGTTTTTCCTAGGGGGAAAACCCTATTTTCCTTACATTTTGGACAGATATCCTGTCATTTCCTTCGTTTCTTGGGCTTTGAAGCACGCTTGGTACGGCTTAAAAGAAGCGGGGGGGGTTGGGGGGGGGGGCGCAGCCCCCCCACTTGCAAACACCTCTTGGGCTTTGAAGCACGCTCTGCGCGGCTTCCAAAAAAAAAGAGCGGGGGGGTTGGGGGGGGTCTCACACGATGCTTTTCAACTAGTTTCTTGGGCTTTGAAGCAAGCTTGGTACGACTTAAAAGAAGCGGGGGGGGTTGGGGGAAAACACAGCCCCGCTCCCCCATTTGCAAACACCCTGCTCACATGACGGGTGTCAACAAGTTTCTTGGGCTTTGAAGCACGCTCTGCACGGTTTGAAAAAAAACGAGGTTTTCGTTGGTTTTTCCTAAGGAAACCCTCTTCTGATTACATTTTGGACGGATTTCGTCAAACGTCAAAGCGTACGTTGCTTTTCCTTAGTTTGTCCTAGGGAAAACCCTATTTGGTTCGTTTTCTTGGCTTCTATCATTCCCTCTACATTTTCATCGGATTCATACTTTTTGTTCAACTAGTTTCTCGAGCTTTGAAGCACGCTTGGTACGGCTTAAAAGAAGCGGGGGGGCGCAGCCCCCCCCCCCCATTTGCAAACACCCTGCTCACATGATGGGTGTCAACAAGTTTCTCGGGCTTCGAAGCACGCTCTGCACGGCTTAAAAAAGCGGGGGGGTTGGGGCTTTGAAGCACGCTTGGTACAGCTTAAAAGAAGCGGGGGGGTTGGGGGGGCTGTGCCCCCCATTTGCAAACACCCTGCTCACATGATGGGTTTCAACTACTTTCTTGCGCTTTGGCTGAAAAAAAGCGGGGGGGTTGGGGGGGGCGCAGCCCCCCCCCATTTGCAATGCTCACACGATGTTTTTCAACTAGTTTCTTGGGCTGCCCTTGGGCTTTGAAGCACGCTTGGTACGGCTTAAAAGAAGCGGAGGGGGTTGGGGGGGGGCGCAGCCCCCCCCCCATTTGCAAACACCCTGCTCACATGATGGGTGTCAACAAGTTTCTTGGGCTTTGAAGCGCGCTCTGCACGGCTTAACAAAAAAAAGCGGGGGGGTTCCCCCCATTTGCAAACACAATGCTCACACGATGCTTTTCAACTAGTTTCTTGGGCTTTGAAGCACGCTTGGTACGGCTTAAAAGAAGCGGGGGTTGGGGGGGCTGTGCCCCCCATCTGCAAACACCCTGCTCACATGATGGGTTTCAACTAGTTTCTTGGGCTTCGGCTGAAAAAAAGCGGGGGGGTTGGGGGGGGCGCAGCCCCCCCCATTTGCAAACACAATGCTCACACGATGTTTTTCAACTAGTTTCTTGGGCTTTGAACGGCTTAAAAGAAGCGGGGGGGGTTGGGGGGTCTGCGCCCCCCATTTGCAAACACCCTGCTCACATGATGGGTGTCAACAAGTTTCTTGGGCTTTGAAGCACGCTCAGCACGGCTTAAAAAAAGCGGGGGGGTTGGGGGGGGCGCAGCCGCCCCCATTTGCAAACACAATGCTCACACGATGTTTTTCAACTAGTTTCTTGGGCTTCGAAGCACGCTTCCTTTCTTCCTTCCTTGCTTCCTTCCTTTCTTCCTTCCTTTCTTCCTTCCTTGCTTCCTTCCTTTCTTCCTTCCCTCCTTTCTTCCTTCCTTCCTTCCTTCCTTCCTTCCTTGTTTTCTTCCTTTCTTTCATCCTTCCTTCCTTCCTTTCTTTCCTTCTTTCCTTCTAAAACCTACCAGAAATAACGCTTTCCTATGAAACCACAGAGAAATTACTGTTTTTCGTACGAAAAACCACGAAAATGCATCAAATCCTTTAAAAATATGGAGGGAATGGTGGTTTTCTTAGGAAAAACCAAGAAAATCGACCAAAAAAAAAAAAAAAAAAAAAAAAAAAAAAAGACCCAAAAAAATAGGCCCTCCCCCCAAAACTTAAGCACCGAATGTGAGAGCAAATGGCAGCTCACCTTACACCTGGCATCAATCCTATGAATCCTGGGAATGGGTAGCAAAACTGTAAAACTACAGGATTGCTAGAAGTTGTGTGCACTACGATGCTATGTCGGAACAACGGCCATCAGAGTTTGTGACGGGTTGGAGGAGGCTGGTTAAACATGAGGTCGGTCGGGCAAACAGCAGGCCCCAAACCAAACGAGACCTCCACAACAACCGACCATTCTAAGGAAGACTGTGGAAGACTGCCCCACCTATTTTTATTTGGCATCATGCTTTCAAGCCACCGATCTTCGGAACCAAGCTGCAGCTCTGCAGCACCTGTGCTCGGCAGATCACGTCCTACTACAAAACACAAAACAACACCCTGTCGATGTCCAAACGAAGTGAATGCACCTCCCCCAGCTCTCTTGAAGGCAGCTCACGAGGTTCGGAGCTAGACTAGGATAAACGAGGGTGTATAGAAACGGTGGGGCGATGTTCGAGGCGCGCTCTGTGACCGTGGTCAAGAAATTGCTCAAGAACTGGTTGGAGTTGCAGCAGCACTTGCTGCAGCGCGAGCCGACCGCCTAGCCCTCAAGAAATCTCAGCTGCAAAGCCATCACATCGAAACTGCCAATCAATCCAAAGCCCTCAGCCACGGACCCAGTGATGGCTGGTGTGGTCAACGTCTCGCTAGCGAGGCGCCCCTGGCTTCGGCGAAATCCACTCGCAGGCCCAGCAGTGGAGCCTCTGTGTCGCTTCATTAAAGGTTTCGTCCGTTTGGTACAAGAAGCCAGCTGTTCTGGCTGTGCTGCTGTAAAGGCTGCTTAGGGTCTGGGCCTTGCATCCTCTGAAGGTCTTTCATCGACAGGGCCGGAGTGCTTCAGTGTGCTTACGTGCTTGAGGGAGGGGGGGTGGGGGGACGTAAGTATGAGCGGCAGAGCATTGCACAACATTTGCTCTTTGGTGCGGGGAGGGGGCAGGACGCACAGCAGACCAAGCCAAACCAACATGCCGATTACATCAGCATCTACAGTGTTGTCTGTGAACCTCAGTGCCACCAGCATGTTCGACGCATGCGCTTTCCAGATTTTCCCATTCTTCGCAAACATTGGTGTTTCAGTTACAACTGCTGCACGGGAAAAACCACTTCTGGGTCAAACAAACTAAACGCATTCCGCCCTCCGCCCCGCGACAAGCGAAGCAGAGACACAGACACAGACACAGACACACACACACACACACAGACACAGACACAGACACAGACACAGACACAGGCACACACACACACACGGAGAGAGGGAGGTCAACCAGAGATTGTTGTACAATGGTACACTGTTGCTGGATCTCATCCAGTAGGTGCTGAAACTTCAGATCGCCGAGTGACCAAAAGGAAGCAATGTTTTTGGGACGGTCACAAGCAGGTACACCTCGAGACGTCTCTCAAGGCTTCCCATCTTTGGTCCTAGCTTCCTTGGGTGCAGTAGACCAAAGATGTTGCACCTAGGTCCTAGGAAAGCTGAGGTGTCCCCTGCGGGAAATTCGACAGTGAACGGCTCGACCCTATGAGAGCGAGATGCTGGATCTCGGTCCAACTTTATTGGCCCTGTAGGGCACCCAAGGCACGTATCTAAGCCCCTTAGCTTAGAATCAGGGTTCACACCCACACACCCACACCAACCCACACCAACCCACACCAGCCCACAGCAACCCACACCAACCCACACCAACCCACACCAACCCACAGCAACCCACACCAACCCACACCAACCCACACCAACCCACACCAACCCACATCAACCCCCACCAACCCACACCAACCCACACGCACTCACGCACCCACACGCACCCACACGCACCCACACGCACCCTCACGCACCCTCACGCACCCTCACGCACCCTCACGCACCCTCACGCACCCTCACGCACACACCCACACACCCCCACACACCCGCACACACCCGCACACACCCGCACACACCCACACACCCGCACACCCACCCACACACCCACCCACACACACACCCACACCCACCCACACACACACACACACACACACACACACACACACACACACACACACACACACACACACCCCTCAACCAACCAAGTTCTAGGCAGGCAAATGTTCAAGAGTTGGTTGCATGGGGGGGTTGCTTTTTGCTCACGTGCCGCTGCCCTTTTGCATACCCTTGAGAGCTTTTGCCCGGCCTTAGTCTTGAGCACATTTCCATACGGAAGACCTAAGGCACAGCCTGAACAAGGAAATCGTCACAATGAAATCTACAGAGCGAAGAGCAAATCTTTGTGTTCTCGGAATCCCTAGACATCTGCCATGGCTGAGATTTAGGGGTTTCGAATCCACTTCGGGTGCTGGCTGAGTCTTGGGCAGAAAAATTTCAGCAATCACCTCACTTCTCAGAATCGCAGTCATCAAATTGTTCCAGCGGCGCTTGTACCAGTGTAAAGCAGTAGTTTCAACGCGCCCTCTTACCGGAATCATGCTGCTCAACACTCTGCTCCATCTTGTCCCCCCTACCGCCCGAAAACCCGAAGCCCCAGTAGTTAAGCAGTCTGCACCCTGGGCGCAAAAAAACGTCATCACGGGATCTGCAAGCTGCGCGGCGGTAGACGAGCGACGAGGTCATAGAAGTCCGCCTGCCTAGTAGGCGACAGCAGAAGCTGTAGGAGCTAGGGCTTAGCGGCCAAATACTACTGTAAAGGGGGTCATGGTCTGGTCATGGCGCGTTCAGGCTTCAGGTTGACGTCCCGAACTTCCGGGGAACTTCCGAGTGTTTGCCTGTCACAGGATTTCAAGCTAATTTGTGTAATCCCAACTTATACCTTGCCCAATCGGCTAGGCACAAATTACTTGCTTCGATCATCCCTCTAGGGGAAACAGATGTGGGAGAAGAGAGATGACAGTCACGAGGATGGTTCATGTCGGCGTGCCGGAGTCGGCATCCTCGCAACTATCGTCAATTTTGAAGGTTTTGGTGAGCTTCAAAACCGAAGCTCAAGTGCTGGCAGTCGTGACTGTCACTTTCGAAGCTTGCTTTGCACTTTTCACGCTTCCAAAATGCCGACAGTCACAAACAAAAACACCGGACATGCTATGTTTTTTTTTTTTTTTTTTCTGGGGTGTGCTCCTCACCCGAGTTCCCGGAAATCTTCAACATTCTTCATTTCAAACCACACACACTGTCCGCCCCCTCCGTGACTCTTTGCGGGATTCTCCGGAGCGTGGGCACTCCAGTGATGCTCAGCGGGACCCACTCTAGGGACACTCGGCGGGACTCTCAACAAGATATAAGCTGACCGTCCAGGTGTCGTGAACTCGTGTGGGTGCAGCAGTGCAACTCAAAACGTGCATGTTGGTCATGGACAGCCAACAGACAGGCAGACGCACGAGACATCAAAAGCTTGTGCGCGTGATAGTAACTACATGCAGGATAATAGTACAGTTAGCTGAGCTTCCTCGCGGAGCACAACGCGCTGTGCGTCTTGGGAACACAACCACGCAAAAGCAACTAGCGCTCTTTCCTCAGGATGATACTTTGGCTTTCGGCCACCCCCCGAGGCCTCCACGACCTCACTGTCTTCCCAGAGTGATGCTTTAGTTTTGGGCTTTGCTTCGGGGCACCGGGTACCTTTGGAGTAGCTCGTTCACTGCCCAGTTGGACTGTGAAAACACACTGGCGACCGTGCCAAATGTTAAAACCAGGGATCCTGCTGTTCTTCACACACTTGCTGGCTGCAGGTTGTATGTATCGGAGCCTACAGGCATTTGGCTGATGTGCCATACGCATCTTGCATGGAAAAAAGGGTCTGTGTTCGATAACAATCATGGATGACATCAACATGTTCTTAGGCAACAAAAAGTTTGTCGTGGTGCCGTTTCCCTATCAAGTAGTGCAAGGGCTCGGTTGGGATGCCGTTGGCTCTGAAAATTCTCAATCAAATTAATGCAGGCTTTTGGCCGCCCTACATCTGCAGTTCGCCTTTCTGGGAATTCGCGGTTGAGGCCCGAACGACGCGCATGGATCCCGAAGGACTTCGTCGAGGGCGGCCTCTGACAAGCGCAAGGCCCGATCCTAGATTGTCAGTTGGGATTCCATAATGCAGCCCCTTGTCCTCAGGATACCCCACAAAAGGGCTCGTCATTTGAAGAACTGACCCGATTTCGCGTAGGGTCATAAGGGCACGGCTTGGCTTTCCAGAGTACTGCCAATGCAGATGTACAATTCACGCAAACCTGACAAGCAGCAGAAAACTCTCAAAAGGCCTCCACCATGACAGAGTCCTCTGCGTCAGCGCTGGCGCTTTCGTCGGATGCCGCCATGGGGGGTCTCGGGGGTCTCTAATCCTCTGCAGAAACCTTATGCCAGGCAGATGCTGTCCAGGTTAAACCAAACCGGGTCCAGCTCTCAGGGTGTTGCTGATTCGAAGGCATGGTTCTATGATGTTCCATGATGTTCCCATGCCCTCTGACTCAGCTAGGAAAGAGAATGGCGCATGCAGCGCATGCAGTCACATGAAAATATGTACCTTGTACCCCTGCTGCATGTGAGGTAGTCTCTGAAGCCAGTGCTCCAGCCTTGTCTAAACCTATAACAACCACTTCACTTCAACTGTTTTTCAAGCTGATGCATGTACCTGATGCATGTACCGATCCGTCGACTGTATCCTACATCACGGGCCTGGAAGCCATTACTCGCCGCATTCTGACCTCGGCTGTGACGGATTTGGCCTTCAGGAAACTCGGTTGTGGATTCGCGACTGGGCAAGATTTCAGCCCTGGAATGCAAGCGATTTGCAATCAGGAGTCGGCCCAAGAAGTCAACATGTTTTGCTTTCATGATTTGGGGCTCTATGCGCAGACGAAGCCATTCGACTTCGATATGCCCTGTGCACGGAGCCACTCATGAGTAGCCCAAACAATCGGCACAAGGCAGATCAAGGCAGGCACGCAGCAAGCACTCAAGAACCTCATGAACTTTAAAGTTATGGCTCAGCAGTACAACTGAGCTTTGCAGGAATGCATTCATTGTGGCAAATGAGAGCAAAAGCAAGATGCAGCAACTTCCAGCTGCTTTCCGGCCATACTTCGAAAAAACCCACTCAACTGCCAATCGACTGAGATCAGCCGTACGTCTTAGCGTGGGCGAGGATACCCACGGTACCCACGTGTGCTGCCTTTCGTTCTCATAAGCAACGAAACGACCACAATCCATCATCCCGGCACCCTTAGATGCTTCAGCCAAGGTGCTGATGGCATTCGAGATGGTCTTTTGCAAGACGTTGGCCTCTCGGCTACTTGGCTGAAATCGGGTGCGGGCCGCAACAGGTCTCAGAAGATCCATGTTTCGACTGAGATGTCCGGGCTCAAAATGAGCTCCGCGCGCAGGGTTTCGGCACGGTAACACCCTTGGTCGCACCGCTGCTTGCTTCAATATTCTTCTCATCTGCGTATTCTTACCCGGGGAAACTAACTTTAATATACTATCCAAGAGCTACTTTGATATCAATGACAGGCTCTTGGAAGAACTTTATTGTTGCCATTCTTCTCTTCATTATTGCTTCAAAGTACGTGCTAGAATATTTTCTAAAGCCGTAACATTAACAGAAGAATTACATCGTGGGGCAAACGCCCTCCCCCCCTTTCCTCCCCCCCCGCTCCGCCCGCCCCGCTCCCGGTTTGAACCCGAGCCGCGACAGGATCTCGGACTCCCTAAGCCAGTACACCGCTGGATAGTTAAATTGGAAACCAATGAAAAGCTTCCTCGTTCAGGATCTTTTGCGTTGTTCTCGCATGGGACGTCGGCGAAAAGCACATTACACCCTTCAACCACTATGGGCAGAATTTTAATAGTTCAATGGTTTAATGCGCCATTAAGCCATTGAACTATCGCGTTCAGCCTATGGAACGGTTGGGTATCCATGTAACGACAGGCTTGCGCCTATGGAAGTGGGCCACGTGACCCTTAATCCGCTATGCCATTCATGCACATAAAGTCAGGCCGCCTTCACCTTTTGATTATCAAGCCATTGTTGAATAACGACTTGAAAACATACTAATGTGTTCAGACAGAACTGAATTGGTGGTTTGAAGATGCCCAGGCCAAGATTTAGGAGGAGTCTCCATTCCGATAAGCAAAAAAAACAACGAATAATCCAAGCGGTTATTGGGGATAGAAAATGCCTCGAACATATATCTTGGGAATCTACAACTTTCAATCCCAGGATGTGGAGTATATAGTTTGGTTACTTCTTGAAGTCCTTTTTGTCTCCAAACCCAGGGTCTAAGACCTAAGGATTGAGACTTGAGGATTCCTCAAAGTTCTTGTCCTGGGGATCGTCAGTCTTCAGCCACGGGAGTGTGAAAAACAAAGAGTTTGCGTAGTTTTGCGATGGGGTGATCAAACTCATTTTTCGGGAGTCAGATGGGTCCAATGTCTACTGGCTATTTGGGTATTTTTTTCACAAGACATGCATCAGGGTCTATGAGATCAAACATGCCCAACCACAACAGTATCCAGACGGTATCCTCGTCTTGGAGCCCTTGTAAAGTTGATCCTGTGGTGAGCTAGGGCTAGGTTTCTTGGAGTACGAGTATGGCCAGGAACGAAAGAACGGAAAACCTCTCTCAGCCTTACTCACAGCTTCGGAACGCTTCGCTGCCCTTCGCTCCATACCTAATCAAATCTTGTCTATTAAGCCACCATATTTTGGAAAGGTTTTAATATTAGCGGGAGGGTCGAACGATGTCAACTTTTCAGAAACCGAACCCCATGCTCCTTTGCGCACTCTTCTTCCAGCCGCCGTTGCAGCTCACGAGCGACATTTTGCAAGCCTCGGGGGATGCTTGGATGCTACAGACCCGAGAACAACGAGAGACTCAAACTTTGAGCGCCCAACATCGATGCAGGCTGAGTAGGGATTCGGGTGTAGGGCTGCTTAAAGATTACGAAAGGGAACCAAGGACTTAGCATTGCACAGTCGATTACTCGTAGCACCCGAGTGCAACCCACATGTCCTTTGCGGATGTGGTGGCTAACTGTCCAAACACCCGAAAACTCCTAAGGCTGCTCCCCAACACAGGTTGCACCACACTGTAGATTGAACTAACCTTTGGCTCCGGACATGACTCCCTTATGATAACTTATGACTCGTGATGCTTTCCTTTAACAACCGCCTACAGCAAAACAATGCCCACCTTGCCATGAACCCAAGAAACGAGTGTTGAGATTCTGGGTTGCGCTTTGGCAGAAATTACGTGTCAAGCACACGGTAGATTACGTTCTCAAGCCAAGAGGGTTCTCAAGCCAAGGGGGCGGCCTAGGGTTCATTTCATCTCCTCAACCCACGCTTCGCAAAAATCGCTAAGAATGAGGCTTTCGGCACGGAGCCTCCCAGATGTGTGCCCAAGCAGTGCCCTTTGGGACACCGTGTCTAAAGAGACACGTACTGAAGCTAAGTATTCAAAACACATCTTCAACCTCAAACGCTAATGTTGATCAACCCCTTCATTCAAGGCAGCTCATAGTGCCATGACAGTGAGTGGTTCTTTTGGCAGCATCAAGCCAAGAAAAAACCACCTTCAGGAGAGTTCTTGGTTCAGGGTTAACTGCGAGCCATCTCTGCGTAGGAAAATGCAAAGCATCCTCGGCGATTTTTCCATAATTAAAGGTGATGTGCACCGAGGGCGGCGTTTTGCACTCAGCAGGCCAACAGTTTGCAAGCCTGCAATTTGCAAGCCGTTATTGCCCCAAGCTCAATCATTCACGTCGCGGGATGTCGCGGGTGGTTTGGCTTCTCTCCGGCGTGTTTCTCCTCGACCTGCGCTTGCTTTTGGTATCTGCAGCCCAACCGTGCAGGCTGGAAACTCCAAGGTGCGCCTTGGAACGCCGATGTGTACCCTGGCTTGGGCGGGCCCGGCTGCCGAGGCGGCGTGCACAAGCGTTACTATGCGTTACTACAATGAGGTTTAGTTCTGAAACGGTGCATAAGGCTCACATCGACAGGCCATCGAACAATCGTGGAGTTCTTCTCCCCAAGGCTCATGATTGCCAGATATTGCAGGTGATGTCCGGAGACCTTCCAATGCGGTTGCACCCAGGACCTGTCTGACAATGTGCGTGACACACGACCTTCCACCAACTTCCATCAACTTCCCAACATTTCCCAACCGCGGACGGAAGATGATTCTCAAGACATGTTCCGTGTAGTCCCAACCGTCCCAACGGACAAAACCCAGGCCCAGGGTCGCCACGGCTCCCTTCAGCTATAAAGCCTGAAAGCACAAAGCTTCACCAAACTTCACTACTTGTATGTGCCTCTCCCTGTCTCGCGCCGCCTGGGCTGGGGACACGGGGGCTAAGGCCACCAAAAGGAACGATCCACTTCCTGACTGTAGAGGTTTCGGGCTTGGCACTGGCGCTAGATTTTCTACAACACTTCAGTTGATCAGGGATGGGTGTCAGGGATGGCGGTTAGGATTTGGGCATTTGAGCTTGTGGATGTTGTTCATGACGCCTGCGCACGCAGAAGCTTCGCGCTTGCTTCTTACCCGTCCCGGAAACAGAATAACACTCTGATCGATCATGGCCCACCGAAGGACGAATACGTGCCACAACCGTCGCCCGATCCCCAAGGCCCCAGCGTTGGACTCCTCCAGCTGCTTTTTCAGCACGGACACGCTGTTCCGCGCCTTCAGTCGATCATACTTGGACCAATGAGAACGCAATTCACGAGGCAGTCCGAACTATTATACTGTTGTAGCCATACTCGTCTCAACCCCTAAGGCCCAGGCACCCTTTTTTCCTAAACCCAAGGCTTGGAGCTGAGCGGAGCGTCAACCCTGAACGCAACCCTGAACTGAGCGATCTGAAGGCGAAGGAATGATGGAACTAGACCGTGTGTGCATGTGTAGATGTGTGTATAGCGATGTTCTAGGTGCACCTTGCACTGCCCCTATGTAGGGGATTGCTCAAGTCCTGTGACTTGGTCAAGTCTCTCGCCGAGCTCACGCTCGCACACAAATCAATGTTTAGGTTTGCAGTAGGGTTCAATTCTGGGCGACAAGATGGCTCTGCATAAAATTGTGGTCTCTTCGAGATAGTTTCGTGTGAAAGGAATCCTTGTTCGGCGCCTTAGACTCTACAGAACCTCTTGATACAGCTTTCCCTTTGGAGTCCTGAAAGCAAAGTCTTTTAATGAGGAGATCCCCCCCCCCACACACACTTGTATGGTCTTCATGCCTCGAGCAATGAGACTTCGAACCGTTTGAAGCTAGTATGTTTTTTGTTAAGCCCCCCTCCACCCTCTCCGGTACTCTCGCACCTGCTGAGAATGTCAGTTTGATCAGCGAGGGCTTTCTGCGTGAAGTGAGCAGGTGCCACACATAGTGGGTACTGTGCTCCATCGCTTGCTGTGCGACGTGCCTCGCCGGCCTGAATGTCCTGAACTATGAGGAATGGTGACTGTGTGGTGTGTAGCGGTCCTGGGTCAAGTGATGGATGTAGCTGTTGACTTCCCGTGGCAGGAGACGGTGACGGCATGCACCCTCGCGATGCTCACGGCCGCAAATTTGACTGCACGGGATGGATGCGGTTTGCACTCGATGGGCTGACATTTGTGCTACAAGTTCCATTGGTCTGTGAGCACGCCGCTGTGAAGACAACATCAGCCCAGAGGCAGAGTCCATGCCCACTGGGTGTAAGATTCCGTGAGAAGTGCAGGCGGGGGTTTCGGCCTTCCTAGTGGCGCTCTCCTTACAAGTGAGTTGTCCAGATGAGACCATATTATCTGTCCACGTGTGTCCCCCCTCTTGCCTTCGCAAGCTGGGCCTGGAGTCGGGCGTTCTCCGACCGCAGGTCCTCCGCTCTCAAGCAGACTCAAGCAGGGGAGAGAGAAAGGCTCTTAAAGGACTATGTAGGGTTTAACTTTAGTTTGCGGGTTTGAGTTCAGCTGGGCCGAGGCTCACTTGGCTCACTTCGGTGAGAAGAGCGGAGAGAGGTGCTTTATATCCGAGAGGTGTGGGGCTTAGGAGGTCTATGTTTTTGAGGGTAGCGACCTATTCTCTGTTTACAGTACTCTAACCCAGTTTCAAGAGGGCCTCTCGGTCCACTTTGCGGAGATTGCCCAGCTCGCGTTCCTGATTCGAGGTATACGGCTGGTCAAGTCCTTCTGTGACGAAGCATTTCATGGCACATCCCACGGCTTTCTTCGATTCGATGCACAACATCCAGTCTGAGTCGAGCACTAGGACGCTCGGCGGTGCCTGCCATTCACAAACAGGGCATGTTTGAGAGCTTGCGAGTTTATACTAAGTACTTGCACAAAAACCTACAGCCTGAGACAGGCCTAACCGTAAACGTGAAGGCAACATCTTCTGAAATTTGGATGCAACATGATGCAACATGAGCGAGCGTTTCTTCAAATTCCTTCGCTGCCGATTTGCTTG